TGATGAAGCACAAGTAGGATAAAACCATAATATGGACAGAAGAATCAAGATTGGACGACTAGATACCTAGATGAGACCAGTGTATGTACGCTGCCTGTGGGGAGGGGGCGGATCCTGCAATCTTCCTCGCGTTTTGGTGCTCCGCAATTGAGACGATGATCCGCCGCGACGGACTGAAGAACTTGGGTCCCATATCTAGTGGAGACGACCATGTAGGGGAGCGGGAGCTCGCTCGTCGTCGCGGCAGATAATGCCGAGTACAACCACCGGATTGGACAACGGACCGGCGTATTGGATCTCACCGGCACAGTTGGTATGGCAGGTTCATGGCGAAGAGATGGAAGGCGGTAGGGCAGTTGCGAGATCGGCGTTGGAGACAGTTCAAGAGTAGGCGAGATGGGGAAGTGGTCGGGTGGGTTTTAGGAAGGCGGTATTAATGCGGGATAATTGACGAGCAATTATAGGTGGGACCTGGCGAAAATATTTGGCCTGGTTTGGAAACAATCTCAGCCGTGAGAGAAAAATGCATCGATGTCTCCGGATTGGTCTGATGATTTCATCCTATAGGACTACTGATAGGAAGCGTTTCCCAAAACTACTACAGTTCTTATATTCAATATATATTTTATAACTAGACAATGATCAAACACAATAAATTTTATATATATTCCAATCAGTCATTTTTTGTCGCAGCGTGCAAAGTATCATTTAGTAAGGTAAAGGTATTTATACACAGTACTAGAAGACACGTATGTACGGCTAGCTCTGCCCATCCATGCAGCGCGGCACATCTGAATCGGCAAGCCATTGAGATAAATGAAGAAGACGGACGTGGACGGTAATGTCACCGTCTATGAAGCTCGACTTGTGGTGAAGAGTTCTTCACAAGTTCAAGGAGTTGACTACGATGAGATTTTCTCATCCGTAGCGATGCTTAAGTCCGTCGGAATCATGTTAGCATTAGCTGCATTTATAAAATCTGGCAGATGGATGTCAAAACGAGTTTCCTTACCAGTTTTCGTAAGGAAAGGTTGTATGTGATACAATCAGAAAGGTTTTGTCGATCCTAAGGATGCTAAAAGGTATGCTAGCTCCAGCGATCCTTCCATGGACTGGAGTAAGCATCTCGGAGTTGAAATATATACTTTGATAAGATGATCAAAGATTTTGGGTTTATACAAAGTTTATGAGAAACTTGTATTTCCAAATAAGTGAGTGGGAGCACTATAGAATTTCTGATGAGTATATGTTGTTGACATATTGATGATCAGAAATGATGTAGAATTTCTGGAAAGCATATAGGGTTATTTGAAAGATGTTTTTCAATAGAAAACCTGGATTAAGCTACTTGAATATTGAGCATCAAGATCTATAAGAATAGATCAAAATGCTTAATAATACTTTCAAATGAGCACGTACCTTGACATGATCTTGAAAGTGTTCAAGATGGATCAGTCAAAGAAGGAGTTTTTGCTTGAGTTGTAAGGTACGAAGTTAAGACTTAAAGCTCGACCAGGACAGAAAGGAGAGAAAGGACGAAGGTCGTCCCCTACGCTTCAGACGTAGGCTCTATAGTATGCTATGCTGTATACCGCACCGGAAGTGTGCCTTGCCATGAGTCAGTCAAGGGGTACAAGAATGATTCATGAATGGATCATTGGACAGCGGTCAAAATTGTCCTTGGAGTAATAAGGACATGTTTCTCGATTATGGAGGTAATAAAGAGTTCGGCGTAAAGGGTTACGTCGATGCAAGCTTTAACACCTATCCGAGTGACTCTGAGTAGCAAACCGGATACGTATAGTGGATCAACCATTTGGAATAGCTCCAAGTAGAGCGTGGAAGCAACATTTACAATATGACCTAGAGATTTGCGAAGTACATACGGATCTGAATGTTGCAGACCCGTTGACTAAAACCTCTCTCAAGCAAAACATGATCAAACCCCGGAACTCATTGAGTCTAAATCACATGATGATGTAAACTAGTTTAATGACACTAGTAAACTCTTTGGATGTTGGTCACATGGCGATGTGACCTGTGAGTGTTAATCACATGGCGATGTGAACTAGATTATTGACTCTAGTGCAAGTGGGAGACTGTTGGAAATATGCCCTAGAGGCAATAATAAATTAGTTATTATTATATTTCCTTGTTCATGATAATCGTTTATTATCCATGCTATAATTGTATTGATAGGAAACTCAGATACATGTGTGGATACATAGACAACACCATGTCCCTAGTAAGCCTCTAGTTGACTAGCTCGTTGATCAATAGATGGTTACGGTTTCCTAACCATGGGCATTAGATGTCGTTGATAACGGGATCACATCATTAGGAGAATGATGTGATGGACAAGACCCAATCCTAAGCCTAGCACAAAGATCATAGTTCGTATGCTAAAGCTTTTCTAATGTCAAGTATCTTTTCCTTAGACCATGAGATTGTGCAACTCCCGGATACCGTAGGAATGCTTTGGGTGTACCACACGTCACAACGTAACTGGGTGGCTATAAAGGTGCACTACAGGTATCTCCGAAAGTGTCTGTTGGGTTGGCATGAATCGAGACTGGGATTTGTCACTCCGTGTGACGGAGAGGTATCTCTGGTCCCACTTGGTAGGACATCATCATAATGTGCACAATGTGATCAAAGAGTTGATCGCGGGATGATGTGTTATGGAATGAGTAAAGAGACTTGCCACTAACGAGATTGAACAAGGTATCGGTATACCGACGATCGAATCTCAGGCAAGTATAATACCGCTAGATAAAGGGAATTGTATACGTGATTGATTGAGTCCTTGACATCGTGGTTCATCCGATGAGATCATCGTGGAACATGTGGGAGCCAACATGGGTATCCAGATCTCGCTGTTGGTTATTGACCAGAGAACGTCTCGGTCATGTCTGCATGGTTCCCGAACCCGTAGGGTCTACACACTTAAGGTTCGATGACGCTAGGGTTATAAAGGAAGTTTGTATGTGGTTACCGAATGTTGTTCGGAGTCCCGGATGAGATCCCGGACGTCACGAGGAGTTACGGAATGGTCCGGAGGTAAAGATTTATATATGGGAAGTCCTGTTTTGGTCACCGGAAAAGTTTCGGGTTTTATCGGTAACGTACCGGGACCACCGGGAGGGTCCCGGGGGTCCATCAAGTGGGGCCATCGGCCCCGGAGGGCTGCATGGGCCAAGTGTGGGAGGGGACCAGCCCCAGGTGGGCTGGTGCGCCCCGCCACAAGGGCCCAAGGCGCCTAGGGTTTGGGGAGGGGGTGCTTCCACCTAACTTGGGGGGCAAGTTTCCCCCCTCTCCCCCCTTGGCCGCCACCCTTAGATGGGATTGGGGCTGCCGCACCCCTTGGGGTGGAAACCCTAGAGGGGGCGCACCCCCCTCCCTCTCCCCTATATATACTTGAGGGTTTTGGGGCTGCCAACACATGAGAACCTCTCCCTCAAGGCGCAACCCTACCTCTCTCCCTCCTCGTCTCTCGCGGGCTTGGCGAAGCCCTGCTGGAGTGCCACGCTCCTCCACCACCACCACGCCGTCGTGCTGTTGATGGATGGAGTCTTCCTCAACCTTTTCCTATCTCCTTGCTGGATCAAGGCATGGGAGATGTCACCGGGCTGTACGTGTGTTGAACGCGGATGTGCCGTCTGTTCGACACTAGGATCTCCGGTGATTTGGATCACGATGAGTACGACTCCTTCAACCCCGTTCTCTTGAACGCTTCCGCTTAGCGATCTACAAGGGTATATAGATGCAGTCTCCTTCCCCTCGTTGCTGGTTTCTCCTTAGATAGATCTTGGTGACACGTAGGAAAATTTTGAATTTCTGCTACGTTCCCCAACAACGGGAGAGGCCGGCGACGGGTCGCGGGAGGAGGCGGCGGCGGGGCCATGGGAGGAGAACGACGGCGGGGCTGCAGAAGGAGAAGGTCGTCGCTGGTTATAAGGCCGTTCGGAAAAGTGCTTATGGGCCGGTCTGGCTCTGCTCTTTGGATCTTGGGAACACCTGTTCGGCTCCTTATAGGGCTGCTGTGATCAGAATAATTATTCTAATCCTGGAATTAGAATAGTGTTATTGTCTCTCTCTCTATATATATATATATTAAAGATCTCATATTATTAATCCAAATATCCATATTCCAATTAGTCATTTTTTGTCTCACGTGAAGTATCATCTAGAAAGGGTATATATTTATACACACTACAAGAAGACCCATAGTAATGCAACATCCCACCTCTACATGCAATTATTGATGGAGAAATGGTTGTCTCATTATGCAATCATGCATGCGAAAAGACAACCCACTCAATAGGCAACCTTGCATGGAAAACTATTATAGTACTTATATTTAGAGAAATCATTTTCTGAGCCCGCGCTCATCTGCCCCCATGTTGAATAAAAAAATCAAAACAAATACTATAAAATTAAAAAAATTCCAATTTTTTCCCATGATAGACAATTTGATGCGTTAGGTCCGCCATAATTTTCAAATCATTTGGACAACTGAGAAACTCTCAAAAAAAAAACAAATCCAGGGTCTGTAAAAACAGTTTACTGTTCATGTGATGTTTTGACCCAATTTGTCTATTTTGCTGAGAGCTACTCAGATGTCCAAATGAGCTAAAATTTGGAGCGAACCTCACGCAATAAATTGTCTACCATAGGAATAAAAATGGAATTTTTTGAATTTTTTTAGTATTTGTTTTGAAATTTTTTTCTGACCGGACGCAGATGAGCCTGAGCACCGAATCGCTGCACTCTTATATTTAATATATGTTTTATAACTAGACAATGATCAAATACAGTAAACCATATATATATTCAAAGATCTCATATTATTGAACCAAACATTCATGTCTCAATCAGCCGATTTTTGTGGCAGCGTGCAAAGTATCATCTAGTAAGGTAGTATACATTTATACACAGTACTAGAAGACACGTATGTACGGCTAGCTCTGCTCATCCATGCAGCGCGGCACATCTGAATTTCAAATGGAGATGCTGTACGGGATGCCCATCCCCATCACCGTTTTCTCGTCCTCGGGATGACCATTTGACGGCCTGAGCAGCACATACGGCACCACACCAGGGCCGTTACGGTTTTTTAGCTTGGAGTCCATGTTGGCCTTGTCGATCTGCACCGCGATATCTATCATTTTGGATTTGAACCTGTCAAAAGCCTCTTTGATCTCCTCTTCCTGTCTCCACACAAGCTCTGCGTACGTGGCCATGTATTCCTCGTCTGGCGAGTGTGAAGACAGGAGGTTCAGTATCAGCATGACCAGGACGCTCTGGTACTGGGATGGGAAGGTGTCCAGCAGCACCCTCTCTGGCTCCTCCAGAAACTTGCGCATCTCCTTGGAGTCGGGGCCGACCATCTCCGACGGCATGTTCTTCCGGGTTGTGGTTGGGCGGTTGGGGACGTACCCAGCCAGGGGGTACTGGCCAAAGTTGACGGCGGCGTGATGCGCGGACGTGACCCACATGATGGTGGCCAAGACTTGGACCAGACTCTCGTGGCTGTCCAGCACCGGCCACCACGGCTCGTCCTTCTTATCCTCGTGGCCTTTGGTTCGCACCTCCGTCCACCAACCTTGGAGCTCCTGGTCGTCGATGATGTCCTTCGCGCATTTGTAGTAGTGCTTCACGTAGTCCGAGGCCCACTGCTTGATGGCATCCCAGACCATGAGGCCATCGGTGGCGTACGGGTAGTCCTCTATGGCCAACTCCAGTTTGCCATCCTCCCCTCTCACCGCCATGCCCCTCCGGATGAGATCTTCCGGCAGAGCCTCCATGTCGAACCGCCAGAACTTGTCGTAAACCACGGAGCTGAGCTCCATGCAGTATCTTCCGGGCGAAAAGGTGCTCTCGATGATTCCACCCGCGTTGACGAGCATCTGGCGCGCCTGAGCGTTTATCTCCATGGTGTACCGGAAGTGCGGGTGCAGCAGCTGGTAGATGGGGTGCATCTGGCTCAGCTGCCGGTTAGCCGCGATGATGTACGGCTCAACACAACAGTGCGTCCTCAGCCTGGCATGTGACGAAACGCAAAACAATCAGACAGACAGGCATGCATGCACGCACGCGCTGCGAATGAATAATTAGACTGGGGCGTAGACGTACCAGTGGCTAACGAGCTGGTGGTAGCCGGTGTCATGAGCCAGGACATGGGACTTGGCGAGCTGCCACAGCCAGGATTCTGTGACGCTGGATCCCGGCGTGAAGACCTGGCGCCACTCGTCCTTGGTCGGGGATGGCGAGTTGCGACGGCCATGATCCTGTGACTCAGGCCTCGTCAGCTCGATGGCGATCGGCCGGAGTGTGCCGTCCCCTGTGAGGAAGAAGAGCGTGCGCGACCCATACAACGTCGTGTCCTCAAGCATGCGCACCTTGTGTACGAATGGCAGGAACATGTCGTGGTAGTCCAGTATGAACAGCTTCTTCCTACGGATGGCCTGTACGTGTGTGTGTATATATATATATATATATATATATATATATATATATATATATATATATATATATATGCTTATTACATATATATAAGTCTTTTTTTACAGATTTTAATATGAACTACATACTGATGTATATAGGCACAGTTTATATTCTAGATTCACTCGTTTTGCTCCGTATGTAGTTCATATTAAAATCTATAAAAAAAATTATATTTAGAAACCGAGGGTGTAACTAGTTATGCATGCATCATGCTTCTTTCTTCCTTGTTTAATTCTCACCTCCTCAGCTGTCATGACACCGTTTATCTGCTCTTCAATCAGCTCTTTAGTGATAAGGGATGGCCCGTCCAGCTTGCTGACGATAGGCAGCTCCTGCATTCATGCGCAGTTTTCAAGGTACCATGCACATGCATCTACGGTAATGGTGATGAACTGATACTATATAACTGAACATATATAGAGTGGATAGTGTACCGTGACTAGTTGGATGCTCAGTGGGTTCATCCCTGCAAGGGTTTGTCGCGCAAACTCCTCATCTCTGAACCAAGCAAACTTGTCCTCTGCATCATTTTCCAACATGCATGGATGCATATATGCACCAGTAAGAATTACGGGATGGTAGCATATGCATCTGATTTGGAGGCTCGCCGCTATTTTCCATAGCCCGCTATTTAAAACATTGATATCTACTAGTACTAGAACTAATTAAACATGCAAATCTCTACTGAGTAGTACCACAGTAGGAGTACGTACTATCATGAATTTCCGGCGTTTCAAACTTCAAGAATCTGCAGATCTCCTCCGAAAGGTGCGCTCCATGGAGGAGGCGCTCCAGCTCATCCACAACAAAACCTATCACGACCCCGACAATCTCCGCTTGTGTGTGCGGTTGCGATTGCGAGGGCTGGTTGGTGAAGTCGACGTCGTACAGCGCATCGATCGCCGCCAAGGAAGGGAAGCTCTGGCTCCTGTGGTCTTTCATATCCTTGAACTCGACCGTGCAGGCCGCGTGTGCCGCGGACAAAACCAGCTCTCTTATGAACGCCGCGTCTTTTATCTCCGTGAACGCCTCATCCCGGGGCACATAAATCTTGTCGGTGGCCCTCACTTCCGAAGGTGCATCTTCACGACAAGATTCATCTAGTGTAGTGCCCATAATCAGCGTTTTTGACACCATACTAGAGGAGTGTTTTTTTAGACAAGCGAGCGCGGTACGTACCTTGCATGTAGTGACCGCGGCCCGTGCGGCAGCGTCGCGGGTAGGGGCGCTTTTCACCGCCGAGCACAGGTCGCTTGTTGCCGAGGTCGTTGTAGACGTCATAGTCGTAGATGCGCTGGTGTGGCTTGCGCTCGCCGGTGCCGTCGCCGCGGATGGCCAGTAGCTCACTGCGGCGCAGCCTCTTCATGCCCTCGGGCGTCTTCGACGGGAGGTAAGAGTACTGCACCGCCGCACGCAGGCAAGATGGTAGCTGCTGGTAAGGTAATTGCATGCTAGTGTTTGTGAAGTTGGTTTAGTTTAGGGCATGCAGGGTAGGGTACCGACCGTGACAGGGAAGAAAGTACGCTTGTCGTTGCTGCTGCGCGAGGGGTGGATCCACGAGTTGCAGTGGAATAACGTAGCGCTGGACGACTTGGGGCCCTGGTCGGCGGGGAAGATCCTGACGTCTCCAAGCAACATCTCGTTGTAGTGGTCGTTCACCACTCGCACGGCGCCGATGGGGCTGAACGATGCCGGCACCGTGAAGGTGGCCTCGAACGTGTAAAACTCCTCATCGGCTCCTGTACCCGAGTATTTGGCATAACTTGGATCTTCCCGCTCTTCTGCACCCACAGCCAACAACCATATATACATTCAGGTCTAAGGCCCCGCTGGGATTTATGGTGACTGTATTTTCTCATCAGTTTTTGGGCTATATCATTCCACCTTCATTCTGATTTCTGAATTTTTGTATGTCGGGTTGTATCATTACCCTTAAAACCATGCATGTATATGTCTTTTTCTCGGCTTATTTATGGGTATATATGTCTACATATGTTTGGGAGTTCATTTTCTATCTACATCCAGAATTTATGTAACTTTTATGATTCATTTTGTTATTCAAGAATTACGTACCGTTGTTCTTGTTGCTTTTTTTTGCGAGAAGAATTACTATTGTTGTTGAATTTATTATTGTTATCCATTTATTATGTACTCTCTCCGTTCCTATATAAGTCTTTGTAGAGATTTCACCATAGACTATATATTAAGCAAAATGAGTAAATCTGCACTTTAAAATATGTCTACATACACCCGTGTGTAGTTTGTAGTGCAATCTCTAAAAGACTTCTATTCAGGAACGGAGGGAGTATTTTGTTGTTGAATTACCTAATTAAATTATTTTTCATGTTTGCATGGAATTTTGATAAAGCAGGTACTCATAGGCATCCGTAGGGAGTCCGTATAGTATAGAGATGGCTGCCTTTGGAAAAAACAAATTATGTTTCTCTGAACGACAAGAAAAAAGAAGAAATTATATGCATGCAGGATTCGAATAAGGGGGCGGAAGTGAAGAGGACAGTACAAGGGAGCCTTGTCACCTGGGTTAGACTCCGAGACGAGCTCAAGTTGTAGCCACTCTCGGTGAAGGAGATCGTTCGTCCAATGGTAAACCCAAGCGGCCTTCTCAGACAAGGAAGTTATTTTTTCAAGTCCTGACCAGAAACTTTTCATGTGCACCGTCACGGTGGCCTTCATCTCGATATTCGACAACGTGAGGTTGAAACCGCGGGGAGTAGCTCGGTGCGCGACCGTGTCCGCTTCGGGCAATGTGGTGGTGGTTATGGTGGTGGTGGTGGCGGTGGCGGTGGCGGTGCAGCCAACTGTGGAGACTGTGTGGCGAGCGTTGCTCGATGTCCGACGAGCCTCTGGCACCGGGACCGCTCGCCGAACTGATGAGACTGTGGAGGAGAAGGAAGATGAACCATGATGGCTCGGTGCACCTAGAGCTAGAGGCATGGCTGCCATTAGCAATGTGGCTGCAGCGTGCTACACTTAGGATGTAGATGGAGAGATGGGATGTCGGATAGAGCGATCCCTGGATCTCCTATTTATAGAGATCCAAGAAGAGAGACGTCATCCCGCTGACGCGAGGCAATCGTACCAACACCGTGGAAGAAGAGAGACGTCATCCTCACATCCCGTGCAGCCGCACCGGCCACAAGAAAAATCAGCCTCTCCCCCGCATCAACAACACCGTTGCACTGCAGCTTCCGTGGCCGGCGATCAGTGGCGCACGACACCCAACACACTGCATTGCAGCTCCACCCGCCGGAGATATCACCGTCTCGCAGCACAACACAAGTTGCATTTCTGATTGTTTAGCCCCACGCGTCCCTCTTCGAGGCGACATGGGGAACCCTAGCCGCCCCCGCCGCCGGCCTTCCTCCACCCTCCCCACCCCCTCACCGCCGCCGAGAGCCACCGCTGGGCAAAGCCTAGGCAGTGCCGGCGGCGGCGGGGCATCTCCCCTGCCACGGCTTCCCTTCTTCCTCGCGGCGGCTTAGTCACTCCCGGTGGAATTGGTGGCGCGGCGCTTCGAAGATCGAGCAGCGCCTTGCTTTGCGGCAGGTTGGAGGCCTGTCCCCGTCTGGTGGTGCCGCCTAGACAGCCGCTGCCGCCTTCGGCTCTTGACCCCAGATTGGATCTGAGTGGTGCTCGGGCCCGGCCGTGGCTGCCTATCAGGCGTGGTGGCGGCGAGTCTCGCGGCCTCTGGGCATCGTGGAGGTGCCGGCGGCGGCGTGTGCTCAGCCTGGTGGTGGCGGCGGCCGTGCACGGGAGTTGGATTGCTTCGAACAGATCTGGGTGAAAACTTGCTTCCGGCTACTGCCAAGGCCGGCGGTGGCGGCGCTATCAGCATCATTCCCTTCTTGAAGGCATCGCCGTGGAGAAGTTCAAGACCACTCTCTGCTATCTCCAGGGGAAACCCCGGATCGGATGATCGGATGACGGTGGCGCTCTGGTGTCGTTCCCCCCTTGGGGCGTCATTCTTGGAGGTACACACGTGAGCGAGGGACCAGAGGACGAATACTTTGGTGGAGCGGTGCGTCATCTCACTCATTGATGGCGGCGGATCTCGGCAGCATGGTGCTGTGGTGACTCGGCGTACGATGCGCGAAGATGGACTCGCGCAGGAGGGTGACACGATCTGGCATCGTGGTGGCGTCGACGGCAGCTAGACCGGGCAAGGTAGATGCATCAGTACAGCTCTGAAGATGGATTGGTGGCAGGTGGGTGCGGCGGCCTCATACCCGGCAGGCGTCCTGATTGAGGAGTGCGCCAGACCGGTGTGTGCCCCATACCCGGCAGGCGTCCTGATTGGGACCTCAGGTCTTAGATGTTAAGTTTGGCTGCGAGGTTTGTTTGGTATTATGCCTATACTATCAGCATCCCTTCATCAACTGGATAGAAGTAGCAACAGATGTTGCCTAGACGGTGGCTTTAGTCTTACTGTTGTATTACTTTGTAAGGTCTTGTGCGAACAATTAATAAAGTGGTTCCATGCATCGTCCAAATGTTGAGGCCGGGGGTCTTCCTCCTTTAAAAAAATCTACCAACTCCGCCGTTGCGCCGCAATGAAATGAAGTGACGGCCCGTTTGTCTGGCTTGGCCACGGCTATATAAGCCGTGCTCCGGCGATGCACATCCGCATCTCCTTCTCTTCGAGCCCCTCCTCTTGCAGCGGTGATGCCGAAGTCGTGGTGGTCCGCACTGGTAGGTGGTGGCGATGGTAGTTCATTCTCGGGTGGATCGACACCGACGCCTGCGCTCTCCGGGCCCCTCGGCATCCATTGCGGCCGGCTCCTTCGCCAGGCAGGAGATCGTCCTCTCTTTGGCGTCGAGGAGGAGCATCAGCCAGAGAAGTGGCCGCGCCTCCTCACCGAGGCGGCTCTGACAGACGAAGAATACGTCCGTTAAATGGAGATAAGGACGGAGCGACCGCTCCGTCAGATGGGCCCGGCACCATCATCGTCGGCGCGGGTCAAGGAGGAGCCACCGTCCTCACTGCGCTACCGCGTCAAGCCGGAGCCGGTGTCCCCACCCGGCGGGTCAAGGAGAAGCTCGCCTCCCCCACGCAGCCGCGTGAAGGACGAGCCCGATCGCAGGCCCGACTCGCCGCCCCACCGCATCCACTGCCAAGCCGTCTAGGAGCTGCCGGCGACCATAAGGAAGGTGTGCGGCCACATCCTCCATTACCTCGGAAGCAGCGATGTCGGCGGTCCCTCGGGGTCGAGGGCCGTCGTCTCCGAGTAGGAGTGGGCGGCAGTACGACCAGCGCAACGCTGCCCGCCGCTCCTCGTTTGCAAGGACCGACGAGGTGCCAGAATGGGTCCTCAACGACACGGACCTCGCCGTCGCGTGGGCTCTAAGCCGTTTCGTCACCACCAAGGAGATGGACGCCAGACGCCGCCACCATCGACAACGAGATTGCCAAGTACGGTGAGAAGTGGTCTCTCAGCGAGTCTTCTGACGCCAGCTAGGGCAAGGCCGTTGCTAGGGCTCCGCCCGCGCTGTTGGCACTGGCCACGGCGGCACTCCGAACCGCGAAGTAGGAGGCGGGGCGGCTACACCATGAGCGGCAGGCAGCAGCCGGACAAGGTTGCCGTGGCCCTCTAAAAGCCTTGCGCCGCTGGAGGGACGACGACGACAACAACGGCGGCGGTGGTGCGGACGGCGATCACAGTGCGGAAGGAAAGGGCGGCCACACGTATGAGGTTGTTGTCCGCTATAGAATTTAGTTTTTTTATAAGTTTTTAGTTAAACAGTCAAAATATCTTTTTTAACATAAATTATGTCCGAATTTTAGTGAAATTCGCCGTGTTTGCATGAATTTCATCCGGTTGATTCATAAAGTGTTTGAAATGTATGCGTGCACCATTGAATGGCGGCCTCCCGCATCCGTGTCCATATACTGATGCCTCCTTGTCCGCGGATGAATGCGGAGAAAAAAATATGGATTGCCGTTGAAGGTGCCCTAACGACACGATAGCTTTCCCCAAATAAAGGAGTCTAGTTTGAGCGGTAGAATTATGTTGCAGTTTTAATAGACTGATGGTCCGTATGGGCGTTTGTTGCTTAATAATGAGATCATGTAGTATTTGCTGGCACAGATCGACTAAGCCGTCGAACGAACTCGAAAATGATCGAACCACGACCAACTTGAAGAAGACACGCCGCCATTTGCTTGAGCATCGTGCTTATGAGGATTAAAAAAAAATCCTAACATATAAACTACTAATCAAAGCGGAGGCATAGGGAATCCCGTCTCGCCACGGGCCGCCGAAGCGGCAAGCAGAGGAGAGGTGAATCCACGGGCCCGTCGGTGAAGCCTTGAGGAAAGAGTTTGCCCTAGTCACCTAGGGTTAGGAGAGAAAACTTCGAGTTCGTTCGTGCACAAAGACTTTTCGGTTGTCATGAACAATGTCAAGCGACTCCGTTAGGGGAGCGATGACAACAACGCGTCACCAGTTCATTCTAACAACAGTAGCGATTGTTTGGTGGTCTCAGATTCTCAGTGTAATTTTTATTATGTTTGAGATGCTTTATACCTTTAGCGAACATTTACAATAGATCTGATTATTAAAAAGAACCATGAAAACAGAAAATCAATTAGCACGGATACATATATGGAAGATGTGTTTCCCTTTAAAAAAGGTTTCCACCGGGCTTTATAAATAAAGGCATAGAGACATATAAACGCACACACACTACTCCGGATACCAGCTCTACAAGAGAAGCACAAATAGCTAAAAATAGTTAATCAAAAATAGGGAGTAAGCACAGCCAAGCTAAGCACAAAAGTAAGAAAGCTAGCTAGGCCCAGACAATAAGCTCAAGTCTTCTCGGAGCGCCTCAACACAGCTCACCACTCGAAGGCACACTCCACACGACGGATCAGGTGACAAAAGCAGCCATCGGTCCGAAGGAGGATGGGGCAAATTGATGATGCCTCCAAGAAGGAGACCGGTATCCATGAACGTCGTTGCCGGCCTGACCAGGTTAAGCATGGCATTTGTCGGCGCCCCACCCACCAATTTGAGAGAGCGTCATAGGCGACCAACAATCACACCCAAGGCAACTTGACTGAACAATACCGCCGGAGCCTACCCGCATGACACCGATCCTAGCGACCCCCTGGTCCTGGGATGACCTCGCACGCCAAGTAGACTACTGTCTAACAAAAGCCAAGGAGACGTCGGGGTACATTGCTGGCGACAAGAAGCACCTAGAGGAAGCTTAGTGCCGGAATATCAAATGAACACCATCGAAGAAGACACCGAGGATGGGAGGATGGAGCATCGAGAAGTAGGTCAGAGGACCCGAGGAGGATGGCCAGGGAGCAATGCCTCCGAGGAGGAAACGACGTCCTTGGACATCGTCGTCACCAGCAATGCCCATGGCCTTGCGTGTCTTTCGCTGAACCGTCCTCCCCTGGCACTAAAACATGACACGCTGGCCGCCACAAAAAAACCGTCGGTCCCTATCAAGCAACCCGGTCAAAGCCGGCCCGGGTCCCAAACCGATGACGGAGCCAACACTGGATAAACGAATGTAGGCAGCCCTGACCCCCTGGCCATGGCCGCCCATCCAGCACAACGGCCCCCTGCTGCCAAGCGTGGACAACAGGCCCTCGGGCAACAAGCCCCCGGCACAAGGCCGACCAAGGCGGCCATCGGCACCCTAGGCCTTGACCACCTCAGGAGGTAGGCGGCGGCCGCAGCCACACCAGCTGCACCTCCACCCAAACAAAAGCCCCCCTGCTTGACCCAGATCTGGGACTGGAGAGAGCCGTTGTGACGAGTCACCAGGTCGAGGAGGGGAAGGTGCCAGCGCTCTCAGCTGAGTCCAGCCCCCACCTGACGCGACCACCGTCAACACCGGTCGTGCCACCCTCCGCGGATCAAGATCCAAATCAAGGGGGGCCCGACGAAAACCTCGCCACCATCGCCGCGGTGGCGAACCACCAC